AGCGGGGCGAGGCGCCAGGCGGGCGTCGCTGCCCAGGCCTGCTCACGGCGTTTCCTCGGCCGCGCTGTGGGGGTTGGGGCTCTGCGGAATAAGCACGTTTCCTAATTTCACCGAGGTTTCAGATGCATTTGGCGCGCCAGACCACAGACGTGGTTTCTCCTGGTCTCTCGGCCCAGTGATTTGTTTCAAAAATAGCATTTGGGGGGAAACATGTGGTGAGACGTGGGGTGTTTGTGCTGCTTGAACTCTCTGGCAGGAATTCGGCTTCACCCTTCAGGGACGTCGGTCTTGCTGTCGTGTGCTCAGGGTCAGCCCTCCAGCTCACCTCCCCCTGTGCAAATGCACGCTCGCTTCCCTTAGGCAGGGTGAGGCACTCTCGAATCAATGAAATGGGAAGAAGTGCTGCTCTACAAAAATTTAAGGCTATTGGCAAAGCTGCCGAGCAAACAAAGGTGCAAAGACTGTAAGGGGAGCACAAACCAGTAGCAAGACGGGAGACTGCGCCGAGATTTCTAGGCTCTGGCAGGGACACTTCCTCCCTGTAGGAGCAGGGCAACGTCGCCTGACTCTGTCCTACTAACAAGAAGATAGTAGCATTTACCCACTTCAAAGAGGGCTGTAATTCTTCATCATTGTCAGTAAAAGACTTTGAGATCTTTGGATGAAAGGCCATACAAGTGCAAAACATTAATGCTTTATAGCTGATGAGCGCATATACATTCAAATACTAAGTGACTCTAGAAGCACACAGATAGCCTATGTAAATAGGGTAGGCATCAAAAGGAAGCCATGCCTCTCTTGCAATTTAAGAATGAATAAAACATGCAGTCAATAGTTTCACATCTTCTAAACTCGTTATATATCAAAATAATGTTGTAGCCCCAGGCTTGACAGCATCATAAATGAGGGCAGAACCCACTCTCTGTGGAGCCAAGAAGTTTCAGTTTGCTAAGCAGTTAACAGTGAAAAGGAGACCAAAGTCAAACCTTTAACAATCCTGTACCAAGCATCTTGTCAATGCAGTAACTACCTTGTTTAAAAAGCCACACCACTCCCCCCCAAGCAACCATTCAAAAAGGTATCATCCACTCTATAGTGCTGGCCTGTGACACATGGAATGTGCATATGGGATAGTAAACCGGCAAATTTGTGAGGCTGAAGAAAGATTACCATCTCTTCAGTTTCATGTTAGCCTTGCTGCCATCTGAGTGGCAGTTAAGCAGCAACCAACTAGAATATTTTTGAGGTTTATATTCGAGAGGGATGTTCCAGAAGGATGCCTCACTGTTGAATGCCATGTCTCATCACTGTGTTCGTTTTAACAAGAGACAGATTAAATGAGATCTCTCATCAGTTTAAGTGTAAACATAACAAGATAAGCAATCAGATCAATTCACTCAGCATGCAGAGGCTAAGTGAGCTGAATGATAGGGACAGCGGAATTTAGGTCTGCAGACTTCTTGAATCACTACTGAATAGCTTGCTTCAGTTCCTCTTAAGAGTAAGTTTAAAATACCTTCCCCCAATCCAACATCCATAGACTGGAGATTGTCTGTGCAGAGATGATCTACATTTTCTCTAATGTGCTCTGAAATCTTACGTAATGCATTTGACTTGAGGTTGCAGTGTGTGCATGATACATGCACTTACACTGGAATTATTTTCCATACAGAATATCAAGCTAAAAGCGATCCTTAAAATTATCCCCTTTCGTGTGGGGAACTGATTTCTGTGACAAAGGTCACTGATGAAGCAAAGCAAATTAGTATACTTACTAATTCATAATATATTTTATAGGCGTGTAGTTAAAGATAATTCTGCGTTGTAAAGCTATTAAGAAATCTGTAAAGCTTGACTGGAGGAGGAAGGGTGACAGGCACCTGAAATAACTCTGTTAACTTCAGTTAGCATTGTGGCTGCTCAGCCCTTTATCTTAAGTAGGATTTACCATCTACATTTACATTCTCTTCCAGTTTTAGGTCCTAATTCAGCAAATATTTACATGCCTGGGTAGCTTGACTCATGTAATCTCCTTGATGTCAATGGAGTTGTACATATGGATAAAGCTATTTGCAGATGCAAACAGGATGGACCCTTAATCCTGAATTTCAACAGGTGGTTGGAAACTGGGATGAACATAACAGCCTTCCCTTTTTGCAGCAGCATTTGAAATGAGAAATGGTTGAACTTGACTTTTCAATCAGTTAACATAGGCAAAAAGGCAGGACAGAAAGCTTAATCTTAAAGGACAGAAAATCTTAATGTTAGAGGCCTTCTTGCTTTTGGCGCTTTTTTCAACTTTTTCAGTTTGCCCAATTAAGAAAAACTTACTCAAATTTCAGCCATGTATTTTGGAAATAATATGTTCTATTTTTATAAGACATTAGATTACTAAATCTGTCGCTAATGGCTGTTTCTCTCTCTTTTTTTTTTCTTTCCCAGCAAATTCATGACGAGCTTTTCAGTGTTTTAAATGAGAAGCTGCAGCAATTACACTGGTAGAGAAATTAGTCATAAATCTAGGTTTGGGTCGACAGCAGCTGACCTGATACAAATACAACAGTCCTGTACTGAAGCTGTTCATCTGAAAAGAAAATTGTCAACAGTCTCGTATATCACATTCTGAAAGACGGGGAACAAAGGCCCCTGACTAGAAGTGGAAGGAGGGAGAAAAAGGGTGAGGATGGGAAGACGTAAATGAAACTTACCGGGTTAAAACATTCCATATAAATTCTTTGAATCTCATAATGGCCAGTAAAAGTTAAAGATTAAATGAAGCATCAGACACCTGAAATGGATATCCAGTGGCATTAAGAAGGATCTATCCGTGTGGACTCTTAATGGTCTGTACTATTCAGACAGAGAAATTGTACATGCTGTTGACTGTATTTAATTCAGGTTGCGTGTAGGGCAAGTATTTAGTGTGAAATAATGTCAGACTCCAGCACAGAACTGTAAAATTTCATTTTTAGTTTATACTTTCATATATTAATATATGTATGTTTTTAATACCTAACATTATATCTCTATATCTTTATACTAACATAGAATGTTTTCCTGTAATAGTACCAAAGTCAGCAGCATACCAGTGATCCTACTGACTTCACACGTAGTAAGAGTTCCCACATGGAAGAGTTTACAATATAAGAAAGCAAAGGGAGTATTATTATCCCTCACACAGACAGAGAATTGAGGCACAGAGAGATAAGAGATTAGCTAAGGGTCATGCCAAGCCTAGTGCAAAACTGATAACTCAGATCTCCCCAGTCAGGCCTTAAGGTCAAGCCCATCCTCCTGTCTAATGAGCTGTTATTGCAGAGCCTATCATTTTTTTTTTCTTAAGCTGGACTGTCAAACCAGACAGCTAAAATATAATCTGGAAAATCAGTAATACAGATATTTACTTAATAGTAGTTTCCTAAAATACCAACTACAATATTATACATAGAGCATAAAAATAGACCATTGAAAATAACCCTTTGTTTAGTCAACCCCAGTGTTTTGTAGTACCCTATTCCTGTAATTAAAGTAGATGGATCATTTTGAATATGGCATTACAATGAAAGAGAACTGCAAACAGAAATCAAGCTGTTCCTTTCAGCATTGGAAGTCAGGAATACTTAAAATTGTTATTTTACTTTTTGTTTTTAAAAACATCCTTTTCACAGCTCCTTTTTATATCAGCAGAAATTACAAACCTGCTACATATGATAGGCAAAGCATGTGTAGCCAAACTTTCATTAACAGAAACTAAAACAAACCCTGAAAATAACTCACATGCAGATTTTTAAGACACTGCATGAGTCTTGAAATGTCAACATTTTTCTAAATAGAGGAAACTAAAATGTGTGAGGATTAGCAGTGTCATGATTTAAATCTACTATTAGACTTCTGCCTCTCAACACACAGTTTCTAACAAGAAAGTAGAAGAACAGCAATCAATAAAACTGGTTAACTGAAACATTCCAATCAGTGCAGGTGTCCATGCAAAACCTTGTCACATTGCTACTGGAAGAACTTCACAGGAGTTTCATGTTTCTCTGTATAGGAAAAAAAATGGAAATTTACCACGACCCTGTTCTGGAGCTTTGCGAAATCATCAGTGCCTTAGAAAGATAGTTCAACTTGTCAGTACACCAACAAAAAGTCATGTGGGTAAATGTTGGGAGTTCTAAAAAAAAGCATTTTTCCAAAATTAGAGCCTTACTGTAGTACCACTAAAATTGCAACTATTTTTATCATTATAACTTACCTTTCATTGTCTATCCATGGCTATTGTTCTATTTAGAAGTAAAGGCAGAGAGTGTGGAAAAGCAAGAAGGGTGAAGAGTAAGCAACTATTTAACAGTTATGTCTTATGAATGAATATATGGATTTAGTGTGGCACTGGGTATTTTATATAACCCTAATTATTCAATTAACTTTGTTAAAATAAGAGAAACCTAATGCATATATAGCTCTCTGATAGATACATGTTCCTTTACAGATGGAAAAATAAAACAAGAAGTACTGAAATGTCCTAGGAAGCAGAGGTTGTCAGTCTCTGCAAAGTTATCCTGAATGTCTTTGTTCTTTATTAGTCATGTTGATACCATAAAATCTTTGTAAAAGACAGTGATTGTGATCGTCGATAGATATGTTTATAAACTTGCTGGTAAGTTGTATATTTTTTAAAAAAAAAAAAAAAAAAAAAAATAGTATGCACTTCAAACAACATTTTGATGTCTCTTTTTAAATAAACTTTGTACACTGTTTAAATTTTACATTCTTCAGATGTCAAGGGCTATGTATCCAAAGAAAATGGAAAATTGGTCTAATTCCCTTGTAAATTCACATGGGATCAATGTGTAAAACGTATTACTCCATTTCTGACACAATAGTTACTCTTGTAAACATACATTTTCCTCACGCTTTCTATCTTTCTAAAAAATATAAAACTAGTTCTGATAAAAGCCATCTAATAACTTATTTTAAAATTACTGGTTGGTACAATCACAGCATGATTAGCATGGCATCATGATATAATAGGATTACACTAGGATGCTCTATGCATTGCCTTCATGGCTAAAATAAGCATGATTTTTAATGAACTCAGGCTGATTAGGCCTTGAAAACAGAATGTTCTCACAAATTAAAGAAAATTACCTTTCTTTATTTTAGAACAAGGGAACAACTTTGGCAGCAAAGGACGTAGTCCTATTTGAAGCATTAAGAAGCTGAAATGTGTGCTAACTTGTGTGCAACCTTTAGAGGTTGAATACTATGTATAAACTTCTAAGTGTTAAAATCTTACACGGTCGAATTAAGTGCCTACTGCTTCTACCACAGCACAATACTGTGCTGTCATTTAATTTCAGTGGGAGCAGGACTTCAGGGGTCCTGATTTTCAGTTGAGCAGGACTTACCCTTGATTTGGTTTGAAGTTACTCCTGTAACTTAATTTGTGCAATCAAGATAAAAAGGTTTGCATGAGAAAGTGCGATTACATATATAAACATGAAGTGTTTGGACACAGTGCTACAACAGCTGCGTTGACTGAATTCTCCATGGGCATGTATGAAAGTATGTTTAAAGGAGGCTTTGTACAAATACAAGTTGTTTGTTAAATTCAGAATGGTGGTCTGCAAGGGTGCAATTAACAATCAAAAGACCTGATCCAAAGGTATGTTCAAACCTCAAACTCTGAAACCCAAAATGTCAGGTTTTTAAATTTGGAATAACTAACTACAAGAAAAGAATGAGTTTATGCGGGATAATTTTAAATCTTATTTGAAACTCCATTTCATTAAGTCTTTGAATTACACTGGCTATTTAGAGTGAAGTACAAAATGATATAATAGCGGGTCAACAGGAAATGGAGGTAAATGTAAGGCTGTGGTGAGAAACAGCAGATTAGTATGTTCCCAAAGGATAATAAACAATTCACCTCTTCCCTTTCCAGTATGGAAAAAAGGAAATTATAGAAGAATAAAGACTGAAAATATTTCCCTTACGCCACATACATGTGCTATAAATACCTGTCTGTATACACAAGGCCAAATTTTGTTAAGGGTCACTTAAGATTTATATCAACATTGATGGGGCAAGAATTGGCATGGTAAGTGAATTTCAAAGGTCTGAGTACCATCAGGCAGGTGTAATTAGCATACTGATCTCTTAGAGCTGTAGCTGCCCTTTGTCTTTCTTGATGGTGATCAGCTGCAAACTTTTTGCAAAGTGCGAAACAACTCCAACAGTAGAAACGTTGCAACATATGTTTTTTTTTAGTAATAATGCCTAAAAGCTTAATTCCAGTGCTTATGATGCTTTGTTATGTCTCATGTGTTACCTTAAGGTTGTTTGCTACCCAAATGTCTTTCCTCCTTCACATTACTTTTCTATTAGATTAAATACGACCTACAGGGTAAGCCTGCTTACCTCTTTATTCACACAGAACCTTAAAACATGACCATTTGGTCAATTACAATCAGCGATCTCCTTTGTGAGGTGGAAGACTGGAAGTGTTTATACAGAAAAATAATTTCCACTATGAACTGTTCAGTAACAGAGCACACAAATACCAACTGGGAATTTCTCCCTTACATACAATGTGTCATACACAAAAAAGAGATCAGTGAAATATCTCTTCTTCAATGTGTACAAAATATTTAGCACATTGCAGTGGTTTATCAAAAAATTATTAACATCCCCCCCCCACCCCCTCAATGTGAACATTTTGGGGCAGCCCTAAATCTTTTATGTTTGCTTGGTGGACCAGTGTTTTCCCAAACCTGAAAAACATATGTATTTTTTTCCTACAGAAACCAAAAGCTACCAGGGTAGAAACTGAATAGTAAAAAGAAATATAAGATGAAAAATAAACGTTAACATGATATATAATCAATTCTTCATACAGTTGTAACATGAAAAGTTAATTCTTTTTGTTTATGTTCTTGCTATGCTGGTTGCAATCCACTAGCTCTTATGAACCGTTGACCTACAAATATTTATGCGTTCATCAGCTTTAACTATGTAAAGGGATTTCTTCAGTTACTCAGATCTACATTTATCACCTGTGCAAATGGTTGCCAGACTGCACCAAGGAAGGGCAGTGATGGTTAACAAAGTGCCATTTTGTAGCAGAGCGCTCACGAACCATTGAGATTTGTTAGGGAATACTCTTTTTCTGAAACTGCCCCAGCCCTTCAGTGCTTGCTGAACATGCAGGACAGTATGGGATGTGCAGGTGCCCTTCGGTGGTACAATGAAATCTGTGATCAGAAGCTGACATTGCGTTCTCCATTGGGATAAAACTCGCAGCAGAAGAAACCAGACGGGACAGCCGCAGGGCTGCCACCCCACGAGTCAGCACAAACAGAGCGGATGGCACCATCGCCCACCACCCCCAGGCAGGACTACAATGCGCAGCACGCAGCGCAGCCACGTGCGACATCAGAGGGCTCCCTCTGACATCACAGCGCACCTTGTGGGGCAGTGGCTCTTCTTGCAGGTAGAGTGACATCACTAACTACATTTAAAAAACCTTCCTTAGCAGCAGGTGGCGATTTTTCCCTCTCCAACACAAGGCAGAGCCTTGCACAGCTCAGCACAGCTGCAGTGAAGCAGGGCAAGAGGACAGAGCCAGCACAGCGCTGACCTCACCTGTGCTCTTGCAGAGCCAGCTGCAAAGATGCCAACAAGTGGGTTTGGTTTGTGCTTGTCTACTGCCAGTCTTTGACACCTTAACTCGACAAACTTTGCAGCCTTAGTGCTCTTGGAGTTTAGAAAAGATGAAGATTAAGATTCTAGCTTCAAGTAATAAGGAGGGTTCTCATATTGAGAGCCCTCTAGTACCAAACTCTGTACAAGTGTGGAAAGCCCATTTTTTCAGAAGCCTAAACCTACAGCGGGAAAAAAGATACAAGGGAGTTACAATAACTCTAGTAACAACTTTGACTTGTTGTTGGCAGTCCTTCACCATTTGCTTACTTAGCGCAGCACAGGGGAGCTGCACCTTGCTTTCCAGCAGCAGGTTCCCTGCCATTGCACAGACAGCTCACCAGCCCTTTCACCAAGAAGGAAACATATATAGCCAGTTAATCTGCATTTTTCTTCTTAATCAGTCTTGAAGGAAAAATCAGTAGGACCGATTCCCTCAAAATACAGTCAGGTTATTCTAGTAGACTATGTAACCTATTCTTCTGTGTTGAGGAGATGGAAGAGGGGTAGGAAAAAAAGGGGCATGAAGTATGCTAGAAAAACAATTATCCATGAAAGAGACATTAGAAACAAAGCTTTAAAGTGAGCTTAGTTTCAAAAGCTACCCCTACCATAACTACAAAAATATATAAAGGCGATTATTCACCAACAGTTTAGCAATTGGCCCCTTGACACTGAAATTCTACCCAAAATGACTTGTTTTCAAGGACACTGGGAGGAATACCAAGCATATTGATGAGTACAGATGTCATTCTCCCATTTCTGTTATTGGACAACAATACAAGTGTGTTTGCTGGTTTATATGGCCTACTGCAATTTGCAGAGAGTGCTTGGCTAATAAAAATAGCCAAAAACCGTGCTGTGAGAACTTCAGCATAATGGAAAACTTGCACAGACTGCCAGTTGGAATAGTTTTCTTCACCTGAATCACAGGTGCCTGCATCACCACCACACAGAACAGAACTGTGCAGAGCTGTTTACCATTCAGCTCAAAAGTCCATCTATTCCATCTGTTACCCTGTCTCCAGCTGTGGTGTAGGAAGATGCAAAAAAAAAGAAAAAACCTTGTGATCAATTTGTTCTTAAAGGCATTCTCTTCTATGAGCTTTTCCAGTTGCCTCCAAAATTATGTAGATTTTCAGCATTTAAAGCATCCTGTGGCCAGGAGTTCCACAAGTGAGAAAGTTTTTTTTTTTTTGAACCTGCTTGCCTCACTTGGTGTCTCCTGCCATTTGCATTGGGAGGTCTGGGGAACAATCACCTGTACTCACATTTTTAATATGTGATTTACAGTTTGATGAATTTCAATCATCCTATTTTACTTAGCATTCCTCACACAGAAGGTGCACTGTCACACCTTCAGTGAGTTTTCTGAATACTTCTAAGCCTCTTACAGTTTTACCGCATCATTTTTGGGTTGGGTACCCGCAACTGTGTACACATTAATTTATCCACTCTGTTTTATTCCTAATAATTTGTAATATTAATTTTCTGACAAGTACCAAGCATTGAGCTGACAGATTTCATGAAAACACCAATTACAAAAAAATCAAGATACTACTTTTCAGTACTAACAGGAACAGTAAACCCAGATCCCATCACTTTTTACAAAATTCAGCTTTTTTGCCCCACCTCTGATGCACAACACTTGTATTGATACATTTAATTTCATCTGTTATTTTATCAGTCAATCTTACAACAGCCTTCTAGTATTTTTCAGAGATGACCTCTCATCTTTACTAAGCTCAGTAATTTAGTATTATCTGCAAGCCTCACTGTTCATCCTCTCCTAGTCTTCTACCTTTAAATTGAATAGCCTGGGGCTGAACATAGAACCCCGCAGAATTTTACTTCTTATCACCTCTTTCCAATCTGTAACCAACTATTTAACCATGACAGCACCTGTCTTCCTTACACTAAAGCCACTTTAAGGAACTTGAAATTTTAGTTTTGGAAATCCAAGCAGACTATCCATCCAACCTCTCTTGGTAGAAAAAGCTTGTTACCTTCTTCATTGAACTCAGTTTTGGAGAATAGGATGTCCCTTTACAAAAGTTAGGCTGACCTATATGTTGCCTAATTCTACTTTTTGGAAGGATTGTTACTCATCTGATTGGTAAGCATGTCAGACTTACTGGTCTAAAGTGTTCCATTTTTCCTGGGAACTCTTGGCATCCCATTTATTACAGCCTTCCCCTCAAGTAAGAGGGGGAAGGAAGTGAGAAGTTATATCATAGTAAGTTCAGTCACTCAGAGTTCTAAATGAACTCAAGGCTGGAGTGTTATGTAGCTTGACAACATGTAACTGTTCATAGATAAATATGCTAGGGTCTTGAAAACACGATCTTAGTAATGACAGAATTCACACCTTTCCTTAGTTGCATTTATTGTGCATGGACTTCACAGTCATATTGCTGCTTTTCATAGAAATTATATAAATTGATATACAGAATCACATCAAAACCTGAGTTCTAAAACCAAAAGTATTTGTATCCCTCAGAAGGTTATTATAAAATCCTGGCTGCATTTTCAAGAAACAATAGTGAAAGGGGAATAGGGTTTAGTGTTGAGTAACAGCAAAGTCTCCAAAATTTGTTTTCCTTCAAACCAGATAACTCCCATGTTTGTTATACACTAAACAGGTATACAACTGATTTCTATAGATACGTCCCAGGATCAGAATGGAATGGACTAATTTCTTTTGATTTTTCTATATTCAATTACAAGACCACTCCTCATCAGCGCCTTCTCCCCATTTTGACCAGTGATCACCCAGTCTCCTCACAGAGGCAACAGCTTCTAAAATAACACTTAGTCTGCATTGGTAGACAAAGTCATACTGAGAACAGAATGGTTCTTTTACCAGTGAAGGAGGAGAATGGGTGGGCAGGCTCATCCTATTGCTCCGAGACAGCAAGGTTCAAGCTAAAAGACTAGCCTTCCCAGTAAATCCATGAAGTGGAAAGGTGTTCTAGAAGTTTGAGAAACAAGTTTTCAATTCTGTCTCCTACTAGAGTTTTTGCAACTCATGTATATATTTTAGTTTTTGAATCGGGATGATGACATTTTTGAAGAGTCAAAGTATAGAGCCAATGTGTGCAATTGTGATAGCGTCTTTAACAGGATCTAACTTCATACTGCAGTCTTAAGAGTTTAGATCTCTTCCATATTAAACTAGTTATCTCATAAAAAGAGTTCATTTCCAAACATTTTTGCCTCAAGTTAGCTCAATATGCAGAGTAAGAGTCCTGTTTAGTATTAACCAACACAAAATTCTAGCATCAGGAACATCAATAGCCCTGGACATCCCTTTTAGTAGTTTTAAAGCCAGAATTCTGAACATCTGCTCAAATTGTTTGTTTGCACATGACATTGTTACCTACCACACATTCAGATGTGAGATTTGTCATTCTATGGCACTTTTTTGCTTTTTTAAAAAAAGAAAGCAAAAACAAATATAAATTAGGTGCTAAGTTTCCCCACTGGCATAGGCTACAGTTTTCATTTTCTTGACAAAGGAGAAAACAAGACAGATCTAGAAACCAAGTATCTACTTTGTACAGGATTACTGGAGTACATCACTTCTAATAACTGGAAGCAACAAGACTCAGACAGTGACAGAACATACCTAGTTTCAGCTTCAGCCACTGGAAAATTCAACTGAGAAGCCATCCTCTGCAAAATTAGATTTTCTAGAAAACTGTTTGTGTTCTAGAAATATAAAATACTTTGGTAGCTTGAAGCTTAAGGGTTACAACAGTGCTAAATAATAGCAACAACTGGAAGAGGGTTAAACCATTACCTCAGGTCCAACTATAACCTGTTAAGAATTAAAAATCCTCAAAGCTCCAGAATATCTTTTCTGAACTGACGATTGGGACAGGGGGAAGGGGTATAGCGCCACAATATGTCCAGTTGGAACAGGTTTACAGTGTGCGTAGAACTCATACTTCCAGCTTAACAGACTTCTATTTTAAAATGTGAAAGATGAGTCATCTCATGGAGTCATCTGTACAGGTTGGGTTGCCTCATATCCCTGTGGAGCTGCAGCAGCAGTTTTCCCAAATGCTTTTAAGTTCTGATTTGCTGTGATGTTAGTGCCAATAGCCTCTTGCTGAGCAGTGCATTGTGTCGCTGAAGATATTCGATTACATCTCCTTGCTTCTCAACTATCTCTTCTAAACTTGAATTTTCCCTTGAAGAAACAAGTGAATATGGTTATTAACTGAAAGATGGAAGTTTTGTAACGTAAAACAGAGCTAATTACCAACTTTGGCAACTCGCTTCCTTCAGTTTTGCTTCTGTGGATCTTGATGACTTTTCAGTGAGGAGGCAGCCTACAATACTTACACATTTAACCCGAATCTTGCCTGAGAAGGCAGGAAAAGAAAAAGGTTTGACTAGTTCTGTGCCATGTTTCATAAGCAACAGCTAGATATTTTGTGCTAGACAGTTACAGAAGAATTGTTTAGTATGAGTGCACTGACCTTAAGTTTGTAGAGCAGAGTAAGCTAGACTACTTGCTAGAATCATACCAAGCAAGAAACCCATGACACCTTCTCTGAATATATTAGCAAGCTTCTTTTAAGCAGACATAGTGTTTTTATTTGGCTATAGACATAAGCAGTTTATGATAACAATTTCTTGATTAGCCTACAGTAGCATTTATTGAGAATAGTGATACTGTCATAATACCTTAACAGCATCAGCACCTAACATTTGCACTATTTCAGATCTACAACACTCCTTTGCAGTCTCACACACAGCCTAGCCTATCTTCAGCTTTCATACATCTTCTCATTAAACTGGGTTAGTGACACTGTAGCATTAAGTAAACCTGAATCATTTGACAAAATCTGGAAAAGAACTGAACAGAGTTTTGTCAAATATGTAATTAAGAAAACCATAAGAAGAGAGCAGGAACGAGTACTGAAGCCTGTGAGTATACCCCAGTCCTCCCCTAGTCATTATTTCCTACCAGCTGACTTGGAAGTTTGCCTACTTAGCACACAGGTGAACATCTTTGAGTTTAGAAAATCTGCTCCTCAGCCTTGCCAATTTAGAGGAGTTAGTACTCCTTTTTCACAGTTCCTACAAATAAAAGTTCTCAGGAAGACAGCTAGAGTAGGAAAAAAACCACTTGTGTTTAATTAAAAACCTGTTGTTGCTAAACTGAAAAAATCTCAAGCCTCATAGATAAAATTTTGCATCCCTAACACTAGTTGCACTACCAACTTCAAGCATCAGAAGAGCTCATAATCAGTAGCTTAGATTGTAGAGGTCATGACATTCAGAAAACATTCTTAGAACTAGGGTCAACTGCAGGGCTGACAGGATTCACTTTTCAATAGACCTTAAATCTCTAGGGAATGAGAGAGTCAGAGTTGTATAGACCTGAATTAAAATAACTTTTTTGCAACCAGTTCTCACAGGAAGTTTGCACTCTTTTTAATCAAAAGATCAGAGTCTTTTCCTCAGCCAGTCTCCACATTGTTGCAGAATTGTTCTCTAGGCATTTGAGTATTTCTCAGGGGAGAAGCTGAACGAGGAAAGAATGAGGTCCCCCATGCATTCATCACTGTTTATATCAAGATGGAAGTCAGACATTGTATCAAGATAATCAAGACAACTCTAAATCCTTCCTGTATCCTGGACTTCGACTTCCAAGTTCCATGAATCCATGTGCATGTTGCATTTGTGACACCTGGGGAAGTACTGAAGTATAGTCGTCTCCAGACTTCAGCAAATCAATTCATTAGTTACTAAGGCAAACAGAAGCAATTCATGCTGTACTAGAAAGTTTGGAAATATATTCTTATATGAAAATTCAAGTTACTTTTGATGATTGGTTTTTGTTCAGCCATACCAGACTCATTTCAGCAACTGAAAGATGTGTACCTTCTGACTGCCTGACCAAAGGAAAACAAGCAAGTAGTAAGTCTCAGCACCTGCTAGATTAATTTTTTGAAAACTTGGCCTCATTCACAGCCTCCTTTCTTCTTAAAGGCCACATCCACCTTTAAAATTCCTTCTCAAACTGGGAATATATTCCAAATCCCTTGCTGGAATCGCATGTCCAACTGCTGGCACAGAACGAAGCTTTCTTCTTCATCTGTCAATACACCACAATGCGTTCCCTTGAAAGAACTGGTTGCAGAAGCTAGGCTTCTGTAGGCCTACTTTAAGTAACAGTGTAACACACGAGTATCTCTCCTCAAACTCCCATATACAGTCAACCAAAACAGAGTAAGTACAGCTATTTATAGCACATTAAAGATTCATGCAACCAGCCATAAATGGTCAAATCACTTCTGTCCTCATGTTTGAGGATTTCTGTACCATAAAAATTGCTATACTTCGTCAGAAGCATAAAACTTCACTACTTCCCATTTGTGCATGTAAAATAGCAGCCTTAACGTGTAATTTCCTTAAGAACTAGTATCCCCATCTCTACTTTGGTTGACAGATTTAAAACTGTATGCAAGCCTGTACAGAAGTTAAAGCAATTACTTTAGTTAGTGTTACCTGCATACCATGGTTGACAAAACTTGCACACATGAAAAGATTAATACAGAAGATCCTACCTGAATCCTGTTTCTGAGGTAATGTGACTGGGGTAAGCATACATCTTTTCCTCCTCAATTATATCAGGCCTCGGCTTTGCACGATTGAAGTTGCTTATTTTCACTGCAATAAATTTTCATAAAGTAATTGGAAAAGCAGCACCAAAGTTAAAGGCCTTATCCCAGACTCCAACTTAAAAACAAAACCCCGTAACAGATTAACATGAACCTTTGCATAGGTGATAGAAAGGCAATAAGGGAATCTGGGGAGCAGGGATGGTAGAAAGAAAAAGCATGATCAGATCTCCACTCATCTCTGAAGTGGCTTTGATTATGCATTAGAAAGTATTTCTCCCCTCCCCCTGCTGCTCAAAAAACCACAAGTGAGGATCTGAATGGCGAAACTTGAACATACTGCATAACACCTGCAGTCAAAGCTTAGTCTGTCTTCTCTCAGGGAGGAAGACATTATCATTGCCTTTGAGCAGTGAAAAGCCTTTTTTACTGTGAGGGTGACTGAGCACTGGCACAAGTTGCCCATAGAGGTTGTGGCATCTCTAACCTTGGAGATTTTTAAAAGCCATCAGGACAGGGTCCTGGGCAACCTGTTCTAGGTGACTCTGCTCAAGCATGGTGGGGGGACAGGGGGTCAGCCTAGATGACCTCTAAAGGCTCCTTCCAACCTCAGCCATTCTGTGATAGGGAATGGAGATTCAGTCTCTGGTTTCAGGCCATGACTAAGCAACACAATAAAAAGTGTCAAAAAGGTTTTGATACTAGTATCCAAGTCAGAACTTCTGGTTTAAGAACTGATGAATACTGTTTTAACTGGCCTATCCTCTGTGAAGAAACAGCTTGTCTTCTCACTAAGACTAGAACAGACTTGCTACAGCAAGCAATGAGGTATTCAGACCACAGAAGCTCTTTGTGGTCAGCTTCCACCTCACAGAGCTGACAGTCAAAGACAGAAGTCATTCCTGGGCACCTGTGAATAAGGTTTAAAAGGTTTAAAAACTAAATTTAACAGATAAGGAATGGGGAGGCAGGGAGAAGCTGCAGGTACCCTCTGCATTGTTTCTAGATGGAAGCTGAAAACATCTGAAGCTATTCCATAACAGGTACTGAATGACAAAGGGAGTCTACTGGAAAAATTCAGAATGTACATTCTGGTCTCCATGTAGTTAAGGCTGCTTGTGAAGAAACACATCTAACACTATTAAAAACATGACAGTCTAGCTCTGTGAGAAATCTACATAAATGCAGAGAAAAAACAAACTCCATCATATTATTGACTTGTAAGGATAATTACAGGCCACCCTGATAAAACAATGCAAGACCCTCCAGAGGTTAGCTACAAGTAAGGCTCAAAGGTTAGTTATTTCTGTGATGGTATTTCTCTACAAAAAGCCACAGAGGAATAGATGAGGAATTTCCAACATGCTTTGTTTCTGGGAACATTAGTCTTTTATTCAAGTGATATTAGAAGTATGTAGAAAAAGCCATTAAATACATATAGTTAGTAAACCTTTGAAAGCTTGACCCCTATCCTATCAATAATGAGCTTAATATGTTAAGCTGACATTTGGAGCTCACTATATCATAGTTTGGTCCATGCATGTTTACCTCACTTGAACGATTTATATGTCAAGCCTAGTATAGGTCATTCAGAACAATTCCACACAGATTTCTGACTCCCTGTCTCTGGGTCCTACAGCTACATATAGTGCTGACTGGAGACTTTGAGAAGGACAACTGTACTTCATAGGATATTGTGCATCATACTATTCACAAAGTGCACGAACAAGCAAAAAACCCTAGAATCACAACCAGTTATTCCATGACACCACTTTTGTTTGTGAGGCATTAAATATAGTACTACTTAAGCAAAAAGAAATCAGGTATATAAACATGCTATAGATTAAGCATTTACATCTCACTAACAGTTTAGAATTAATTATTTCTCAGGGGAGAAACAGCATGTATGAACACTGATGATACCCTCCCCAAAAGATTTAGGGGTAAACAAACTAACATGAGGAAGGGGTTCACAATCATTAGCATCTAGTGTAAAGTGAGCCTAAACCTCCTCCCTCCCAAACATTGCTCCTTTAGTTGCAGAACTACATTAGGTGACATTATTTCAACAGTAAGTGAGGTCTACTAAGTGCTTTCCTCAAAGAGGAGCACTTGAGCACTGAATAGAGGGCTCCCCCTTAGAGTATTCAAGTAAGGAGGCTTAATGTTGCCAGTCAGTCTGTTCTGGCTGACAAAAATCCAAGGGCCACCATTAACCACAGCTTGCCCAGCTATTTTCAAAACTGACTGAATACATTTGTTTTGCTTCAGAGGAGTCTTAGCTTAAGGTTTAAAAAAAATATTCAAGCAACCACTATACACAAGATAGACATGCAGGCAGTCTCTCAGCTTTATTTCAACATGTATTGGCATGCAAAACAAGCCACACTACAGATTGGAAAAGGCAATCCAGGGTGATTAGATATTGCCCCCACCTTGAGGCAAGTGCAAAAATCCACTAAAATTAACTCTGTCTTTGCACACCAAGCTTTAAATAAGGAGGTCTAGACTATGGTTTTGAGGCCGCTGAGGAAGTAAGGCAACACATTATTGCCAAAGTGGAAAGCCCTACTCCTTCCTAGCAATGCACCTCTGTCCCTCCTTCACCTCTGTCCCAGCACTCATTGGAACTCTTTCTCAAGCCTCCTTCAGCTCATTCATCTGGGAAACAAAACACTTCACAACTTTCTAGTATGAACTGGTTAATGGAAGCATTTGATGTTTGCTGGAACCTGGGCAACATAAGCTAGGAAGCAATATCTTTTTGGTGACAGGTATGCAGGATGGTAATTTGACAGCTCTTATGGAACCCAAGGCTCAGACCTTACTACAAAGGCCAACTTCCTTCCAGATGCTGAAGTTGTGTTTCTTACAGAATTAAAGAGACACACAAACATACTTCTCTTTTTGAGCTACAGGAGGCTTCAGAATAAGAAATAATGCTTCACTGGAATTCTTGAACTCCAGTCATACCTTTGTAACTTACTTCTGTTTCTCTCAGTTTCCCAGGAAACTAAGTATGCGTATGTCAGAAAAAAAACGATTTTTGGATTAATCCTCTAGAACTGCTATGCTTATGCTTTCTCATCAGTCTCTAATTCTGAAGGACAGTCTATCTACTTGGGCAATACTGGTCTGTCTATTCAAGGGGAAACCTGACAAGTATTCAGGCCTTGCACAGTTTCAGGTGCAGGATGTAAGTTATAGCTAGGATCTTATTTCTTAACATATTTTGATTTCAGTATTGTTACAGGAGAGTCAAGACTAGATTTTTTACCCTCCAACATGACCAATCCACTTGACAGTATTTTAGTATGCCATTACATTAGTGATGGTCACACTAAAAATTTTCCTTTCCAAAAGGAAAGGCATCTGAGATTAACTACTAGTAATCTAGGACTTCTTTTATGGTTTCAAGACAAACACTGACTAGCATAGAAATGGCTCTTGCTTTAAGTTTTAAGCTCCAGGCAGCATTGACAGAGGTGTTTCCACCCTCCTCCTGTTTGATTGCAAGTCAGGAGCAAACTATTAAATTTTGCCCATCTGTTTTTTCCACTAGAGAAACCAGTGCCACTGAGGCTATTTAGCTAGGCTGCCACCATCCCCTTGTTTGTAGCTGTAAATAATCAGAAAGTAGCATCTCAGAAGAGGGGACATGAAGTATCTAACTCAAGAGGAGGAAACTCCATATCATTTAGACACAGATGTAATATTGAGCACTTCTAGATCTCTTGGAAGAAGAGACATAACTACATTTTTATTGTCTCGTACCTCTCCGGTGTTTTTTCAACCCAGTTAAGTTATTTGCATTCAAGCTCATGCAAGAGAAACCCAAGTAGTTTTAAAGATGAGATTAGAGAGAACTGTTTGGTTCAAACACTTATTGATAGTCTAGATACTACAGGAATGATTTAATAGAAACATTTAACAAGTCTTGATAAACTACACCAAACCCTCAGCAGATAACCTTACAATACAACAGCGATACTACAAAATAACATATCAGTTTTATGAGGCAATATATTTAGTTAGCACAGACTCTAACAAACTTCAAAAAACAGTGTTCTTTAAAGAGGATTCCTCTGTTTTAGTGACAAAGAGGATCTTGACCTTTTGGGGTGGGAGCAGGGAAAGAAAAAGGAAAAGATTTAGAGACTGAGGCACATCATGCTATAAGCTGCAAGTTCTGCATTTAAATCCAAGAAGCAGTTCTGATAAAGCCAACTTCTGGTATATGCATTTGAGAACAAACTACCAAAAAAAAAAAGCATCACAGGATGATTTTGCAACAATTCTGCATTTATGACCACTTCAGTAGATCAGCAGCTTTGAGATAAAAGCTTATCTGGCAACAGTTAGAGACCAAATCAAGTCTGACAGTCTTCCAATTTGAGCTAGTCTCAGTTCTCCTTCTACAAGCACAGAGTCATTCTGTATTCACACTGTTAAATGTCTTCAGGTACTCCATATACTCTGCCATACTCTGAGTAAAGAAAAGAGTTCACTAGCTATTTTTGCATTTCTCACTCATTGAGGTAAGAACTGCCACTCTCACCTGTGTAAACCACTAAGCATGTCAGTGAACTTATCAGCTCCAGGCCCAGGACTCCCAGGATAAGATACAGGTACACTTTACTGTGATCAGGGAAGGAATGCTGGGCTGACAGAATCAAAAGCAGGGCTGCATTTCCTAGAAGACAAATACGTTTTTCAGGTGTAACAATCTTATTAGCTGTTGAAAATAACTTAATGTCCTCTTATCCCCAGTATCTGAAATATTTTAGTAATATTTTTCTAGTTCATCACATACTTGCCCCTTTGGTTAAGTTTCCTTAACACAGCTGATGCAAGCTCACAGCTGCTTGCTGTAAAATGAGGTTCCATTTCTGTGTTTAATAGTACAGAATTAAGTCAGAAAGATCCATAAGAAAACCTGTAAAGAGCTGTGGAGGGAACAGAATAGAAATACCTAATATACAACAGGCATGTCCTTAAACTGTTTCTTGCCTCCTTGCTGCTGTCCATCCCTCCCCAAACTGGTTTGGGTAGTTTACTTCAATTCCTAGGATAGCACTTCAGTTGTAGTGAAATGCTCTCTCACACTCTGAATTACAAGGGTGAATTAGAGTGTATTTAAATGAGACTAATGTTAAACAAAAACAGACCAAAAAACCACCTTCCTTTCACAGGCAGATAACTCGCATAGGCTTCCAATTGCCTACCTTTACTTTAGTACTTGCAAGTTACTGAAAGTTAAACTGAAATTAGCACAACTAGTCATGGAGAATAAAATCCATATTTCAAAAGGTCTAGAGTTACAGATCTAATATTCTTGCTTAAGAAGTTAGTGAGTTGCAATCAAGTGTTCCAAATTCTTTAGACACCCTCTCCTCGCAGCATACTTCTGACACAGCACACAGTGAAGTGTTCTTTTCTTTCCTGTTAAAGTTTTTATAGCCAGTCTAATAAAGCACTAAACTTAAGACCATTAAACTAATTAGGGGACTACGCAGTTCTCCTTCATGTTGTGTTAGGCAACTGAACTGTCAGGATGGAAGCAGTATCTGCAGGAATTAGCAGCATGGCAGGAGTTCACTGCCTTCTGAATTAGATTTGCATCAAAACTTACTGCATCTGAACATCAACATGTGGCCACAGATCGGCAGTGAGAAATAAGACTACATCCAAGACAGAAAGCAGGGCTTGAGATAAATATTCCAGATTTTATTGCAATAGGTAGAAACAATCCTTTTATTCTCTCCCAAAACATCCTTAATTCTACTGTAGGCTGATCTTGTCCTCACCCATAAGAAATATCTTCAGAGCTCTACCTAGTGGCCATAACCTGAAGTTCTGCACAATTAGGTTGACTAGATGGCCTTTTTGTGATTGGATGGAAAGCAAGCTAGCGTTTGTTTTTTTTTTAAACACAGAAAGACCATATAACTTACCAAGGCTGATGGAAGAAAATTTACTCCAGTTATTCAGAAGGCTTACAGTAGGGAGGTGGTGACTAAAGAGGCAAAGATACTGCAAAAGCCACCACGCTTCCCTTATCTCCTGCCATTCCTATGTGAAAACCCTTCACAAGTTAGACAAGTTTTAGATCTGAAGTAGTTTCTCTCTTTTAAGAGAAAAAAGAAGCAAGAACAGCTACATGTTAAAACACTTTCAGCTTTTACTGAGCAGTGGCAGCACAGAACAGAGTTAAAACACTGCCACATGTCACAGCTTGTCCACAGAAGGAGGTAGTCAGAAGTTGAGCTGAAAGCCACTTGCCCTGCTTATGGCTAGAGACTTACTCACTTTACTAGTTTCAGATAGCTGTTGAGCAATAGGCTATTTGTTTTTACTTAAATTGCTGAGCATGAAGAATAAAGGTTTCACGCAGTACACTTCTTGGAAGGACTAGCAGTCTTGCCACATTTCCAACTAAACAAGTGAGTAGGCAGATCAAGACGACTATCAGCCAAACACAGATCTTACTAGCTGAACATTTTATAGTTGAAAACTGCTAATGACTAGATTCTACCTCACACTTGTGGGCAGGCAACTAAGTTCTTTACAATATACTTCTGGCAGTCCAGGAGAGTCAGTCAGGAAGTTCAGCTGACTAAAATATAAAATAGCATTTACAAATAACCTGTGGGCAGTTTTAAGAGCTCATAAATTATACGATCAACTGTTCAGTCTGCTTTTATCATGACAGAACTCAAAGCTTCACAAGAGAAGGAAAAACCCACATAGATACACAGGCAAACAAGTTCATTTCACCTGTAGAGTGTATCACCAGTGGAAGCCTTTTTAGATGTCTTGTTGATCGATAGATTGAGAAGTAACCTCTGCTTCTGACTTTACTGTGGTGGTGCTGGATGTATCGTTCAAAAAAAACATGCAGAATCCATAGAATTACTTTGGCAATGATTATGACAGTCTGCACTTTAAGTGGATGAGTATAATTTCCAGGGCACTTGTCCTGATTTGGATTGGGATAAGAACAAAACATAGCTGCCAAAAATGCTAGAACAACAAAAGTGACCTGTAAGAGAAAGAGAGAGGGGAAACTGTTAAAGTCAACTCTTAACTATAAAGAGAGATAGGCTAGTCTAGTTATTACACTTGAATTGATTTTATGAAAGTTGAGATATTTATAAACATTAGACGCTCTTACCACAACCACTACATGTCATTCCAGTCACATATCCATTAGTGAAATGTATGACTAAATGTTATCTTTCAGGACTGCAACCAGTGTCCAGCTGTGCAGAGATGAAAATAGTCTTCTCAGTATTTCTTCCATATCAGTTTCACTTTTACCCGAGTTTCACCTTTGGAGTGAGCTGGTTTTATTTCTGCACACTTTTTATTATGCCTTTTTTACTTTAAGGGGAAACTTTATTCACACTCAAAAAACCCTCCACATTTTAGACTATTCAGTAAGACCACATGGTTTGCATTCTTCTCTAATTAAGAGTTGTACATTTCATAAGTGATAGTCACCCTTTATTAAACCCATTCAAGACGACCTCCAGGTCATGATATTAAAAGAAGTGAAATGACATCATAGTAATTCACCCTAACACTAGATAGGTCCTTGCCTCAGTTGGCAATCATTAGTAAATATATTTACTAATAGATTTTTACATTTTGCTCAGAATTCCTGTCAATGATCAGACTATAATCAGCTTATATGCTTGTCCTTCTAGACTAGTGGCATTCTGCCAGAACTTTTCCTGTCTTCTAGGCTTTTCTCCAAACTTCCAGCATCAGCAGTGAACAGCAGCATCAGCAACCTTTTATCCAGTTAAAAGAATCTTATGTGTATATAGACACAGGTTCTCTTTTCTTTAATCCTTACAGAAGGTTTTCCTCATATAAGATACCATCCCTAATATTTTCATTCACTGAAGGAAAAAATACAGTACTTTCTCATCCTGGTTCACTACACACAACAGAAGTATTTTCAAACAGCACTAAAAACTAAAACAAGACCACCATTAAAAGTAAACTGAGCATTTCTATACACAAAAAAAAGCATTTGCATCAAGTCTACAAAGCTCTAATCCCCCTATATATACACACAGAGCAAAAACAAAACCCCCCAAATCATCAATATTCTACATCTCATGATTAATAGAAACAACCACATCAGAGCTGATTATGGGAGGAAAACATCTTATTTTCTTTTTTGTTCAACAGTTCAGCTATACCGACTTAACTCTGTAGTTACTTAATAAACTTGCCCCCTCAACTCGTTTTTGTCATTTCTCAAGCAACTTTGTTCACAGAAACCAGCCTAAAGCACTCAGTTACTCTTGATATAAACTGCCCTAGGTTGGCTTGGGTTGTGAATGGATTTAGGTAATAACAGGGGGGAATAACTTGCACAGTCATCAGTACCAGGGACAAAGGTGGGGAGGGGCAAAGAAGAGAATGGGAGTCCTGTATTATCCATAAAATTACTATTTCAAACACAAGTTTAAGCCCCATGTTATCTTGGGTATGGGTGAAGTAGCCAGATTAGGTGAAGTAAGAGGGAGTTTATCAGCAAAACACTCATTGAAGTTATTTTACCAGCTCCTTCTCCGAAGGAGCTAAGAATAATCCAACTAACCCTTACTTTATTTGTTCACTTTAGCATTACATTTACTACTTTAATCCAGCAACAGACCCAGTTTGACTCCTTCAGGAGTTCGGAATTTACTTCAGCATAGAAAATGGCTAATTCTTGCAAGCTGGAATAGCCTAGCATTGCAGCTGTATTAATCTACTATAGCAATATATGAAAAAGGAAACAAACAGCTGTCAGTAAGTGACATATATTACAGATGCTTTGCTTACATTTAGAATAATCTAACAGACACTTCAATATGGGGAATTTTTATATACAAAAATTGTATTTATTCTTATGAAGAGCAAAATTTAGGAGGTTAGGTTTTATACACATCCATATGCAGGGGACTGGGGAAAGAGGAGGTTAATATAAAGAAATTTCTAGCTTGTACCTTTTACACTGCTCTGCAGTCTCCTAACAGGAGCCTTCAGAGAAGCAAGGCTTGGCAGAAGAAAAGCCACCAAAAACCTAGCTCCCACCATATAGCAGCATACTCTGCCTACACACTCCAGAACTGAACAGAACTAGGCGACTGCATTGGAAGAGCTATTTGCTGTGCCTAACCCCACACCTTGTCACATGAGAGAGGAGAAGAAATACTCCAAGTTACACACAAACTATTTTAGAGATGTATTACATGGTCCCACATAACACTTACTCCTTATAACCTCTCCAGGATACTCGCCACTTTCATAGGCTATGCATCAGAAGCTGACCTGATGTCTCCACGCTCCACAAGGAGTGTGCACATTTGCAGAAGTAGAGGGGAAGAAAATCCAGCAAGCTTGCTTTCCCCATCCATGGGAATGCTTCTCACCAAGAAACAGCACCATTTCATGTGCTTATTGTCTTGCTGTATTTCACCAACAGAAAGGATACTTCTCCATTTTGATCCGAAGACTGACTGGCCACTGCAGCAGGCTCAGCAATAGCAGCAAGACTTTACCTGGAAAAGTATGTGCTGACAGAGGCCTCAGTTTTCCCCCCATCTCTTCACCTCCTCATACTTCTCTCCATTTGCAAGAGAGGGGAAAGTGATGGAAAGAGAAGAGGCAGCAGTATTCTAGGATCTGGGCAACAGACATTTGGCTACATCAGTTACAGTAGTAGATAGTAAAGGTCCCAACGCTAGGTGGAAAAACATTTACTGCTCTATTACCAATGCAGGTGCCTACTTCCATAACACAAGCCTCAAGCACTATCCTAAAAGGACTACAACAAGCAGTCGTTGGCAAAGAGAATAAGGCCGCATACCCAGTTTCCACTGGAAATCTCTGCAATCTATTTGGCAGAACAGCAGTAAAAGTCTTACCTAGGTCTGCCTGACAGACACAGAGTCTTCTCTTGTGATTACTAAGAAGCTCACAGAACATTTACTTCTAAAATTAGAAGGCCAGACCATATTGTCTGAAAGCTTTTACAAGCAAGTATCACCCTCTAAGCTCTCTTTAGGCACCTGCATAAAGTTCTAGCTTTTCAGAACACTGAACATAAGGTCTTTTTGTTCAGGAGGAGATGAATCTCTAATCCTACTAGTTCCACATATATACATATCTTGTGCACTCTAGCACACTGTCTTCAAGTCTGTATTCGCATATGGCATAATTGCTGCTAGTACCATTTCAGTTAGATATGGTCAGAGCTCTTCACCCTTCCTTTTCCAGGGAAAAGGTGCTACATGTGCACTAGCAACAATAAACACCTTCAAGTTAAAGGATAAGCTTACGACTAGGCAGAAAACTATTTCTAACAGTCCTCAGCAAGTCCTACATCCTATTACATACAACATCTGTGAAATTTACTTTTTCTGGGCTTTTCCCCTTTTACCCCCAAGAGGGAGTCAGAGCAGGAAATAACACATGGATTCCTTTATCTCTCCATCCACTATCATAAAAAAAAAAAAACCTGGAACAAGTCCATCTTGACTTGTTTAGTTACAACAAGAAGAAATACCTCAAGTGTTCCCTGTGAAATTAAGTTCAGCCTCTACAAGGCATAGTATCAACAAGAGCAACTTAACCCTCTATCTAAGCACTGCTATTGCAATATTATTTGTATGCTTCCAAAAGCATACTTTTAGAAGAACTACTTTTCAAAAGATTTTTCTTTCTAACAAGATGTCTCACAGTATATTAGCACTAACAAACGAATCAGAAGGAAAACTTCGCAAGTATCATGTAGCATATACATTATCAGAATTCACTGGAGAGCAAGGCTTTGTTTGGTTTGTAAAAACAGTGTATTCAGGTCTCAGGAGACTGCAGTGCATATGAACAGTAAGAATTCAGAATAAAGGTGGTAAATTTTCATGAGGCTATCATGCTTCTTAATACTTACATGTATGAACAACAGAAAATTGGCAATAAGGACTGCTGGAATAGCACGAAATCTTGGCCTCAGTTGGGAATGCAATGCATGAGACGAAATAAGTGGTGCATCAAGTAGAGGATCATCTTCTAAACTCTGTGTTATTTCCAAGGAACCCTGAAGCAGGGGAGGATAACAAAAAAGAAAAAGTAACCCCAGGGAAGCTTATGAAGTAGGGTACAAAGTTTCAGCAACGTCCTGCTGGAAACTTCAGCTCTGGGGACAGAACTATGTTAATTTCTTGGGAGACATGCTCCCTAAGTTGTAAGCAAACTATTTCTTTTCACACCTTTATGTAATAACTCAGTCACTCAAGAATTTGACACTAATTACTACCTAGCATTGCAATGAGTCTGGAGGAACTTTAGTTAGCATATGAAGAACTCAATAAGCATAAGACTTTACTACAGAGGTTCTTCATAAGAAGAATGGAAAAAAAAATAGCCCCAAACAGTAACCTTGCCTTTGGTTGTCACTTAAAGCAATGCCTGATGACCACACATATAGCTAAGATCTCCGTGAGGTACTTCTCTGTAGCCTTTGATAGGCCACAAAGAACTAGTATGCCTACATGGGAAGGTGGAAATATTGATAATTAAGGTCTCTCTCATTTTTCATATAGGTCCTGCAAAAATCCTTATTCTTGCTTTTGTCAAAATAAAGTTACAAAGATAACAAGAGATAGCTGCAGTGTACCAGCAACACATAATTTCAGTTTGAAGTGATTCAGCTACTAATACTAGTACCATATCAAAAGGTTCATACAAATATTTCTTCAGTAAGTGTCAGCTGGTTCAAACTGAATCCAGGCAAGAGCAAAAAGGCAGTGCAGAAGCAGGGAGGTGCTCCAGGTACAGGTCAAAACACTCCCTACTTCCACTAGGGAGTATCAGCAGCCTTCTTTGACTTCACATGAGCTCATGTTTTGGCTATGTATGTTTCCCAGAGTAATTTTTGCAGTTTTTAAAAATAAGTATGGGTGGCAGGAACACCTTTCCTAACAGACAAAAAAGTTGCCCTAGTGGCCTTTATCTTTGTCACTTCCAAACTAGAATACAGCCATTTGGCACACCTGAAGTTGAATGTACACAGCCATTATGAATGAACAACATGCTTGCCAGTGACTCAAACTCAAGTTTCTCCCTTGGCATCCTGTTACTTTCCATGCTATACCTTGTTTGCTTTGAAAAATAAGGTCCCTGGTAAAGTTTTGCCTGGTCTCCTCTGCAATGAGGCCAGTCACAGCCCAGAATAAAGCATGCAGAGCGGAGAAACCCCTGCCGAGAGCATTATCAAAGGGGTTTCCAGAGATGATCAGCAGAAGTTAGAAAGTGACCATCTAGAAAGCACTACCAGTGGTTGCTTTTTGCTGGAAGTGCTTCTATTGCTATGGATTGGGGGGTGGGGTACCAAAGCCAAGAAAGAACAGCTGACCCAATACCACTCCAGAGTTCTGGCTAATCAAAGCGATACACCATAGCCCACTGGACTATTTATTGTTGTTAAAACTTAGGACTCCGCATTGCCATGATAGAAAGCAGGGCAAAGCTCAAGAGAAATTAAGTATTTCATTCCTCAAGACACTAGTACGAGGAGAAAGATGTGAGACAGAGGAACAAAGGTTTTGAAACTAGAATTAGCTTTACACTTCATATTAACCACAACAGTGCACCTATCTATTGGCTCCCCAATCTTATTTCTCCTACATACAGCTGCCTGCCTACAATGAAGGAGCTAGTTTCAATAGTTATTTCAGTCAGTGTTTAATTTTACTTTAGTAGTGTGCACACAACACTCACCACCTACCACAGAAGACTGAACGTGTTCTCCTCACTTGATTCCTTTCAACCTTCTGATTAGGCTTGTCGTCTGTAAGCAAGCCTTCCTAAAATACTCACCTGGTAAAACAATGTTTTACTGCAGACCTGAAGATCTGCACATGTTATTGGACTGTTCATGTTACTGGTATAGCCTCTGACCCACACAACCCCTGTTCAGGGACCAGGTGGATCTTTAAAGTCTGGAAGTGAGCATGTAGGACAGGCATGTCAGCAACCAAAACATCTCTACTTTGCCCTCCCTAATGCACAGGGTCAACAGCTCACTCCTCCCACCAGAACAACCATCTTTGCTAGTCTGGATGATATCCTTTGTGTCACAGAAATACATGACCACTTGTAAAATTCAATGACAATTCAATTTATTCCTTCATAGGCAGAGCTTTATCAGCTGTTGGGCCACACTGCTTTGTATGAGAGCCTGCAGCTCATCTTCACACAGTGAAATACAGCAAACATCAGGAAACACTGAAGGCCATAACCTCCCAGAAGAGTTATTATTACAGGCAGCGTGGGGAGGAAGGGAATAAAAGCAAGAGACACAGTGGTGAGAACACAATTAATCTGACATTAACAAAATCTAACAGGCATCCTAATGAGATCAAGTTCAGACTTCACTTAATTAGAATGAGCTATAACCACTACTATTAAAAGCCTAATCAAAACATAATAAAAAAGGGGGGAAGAAAAAAGAGCGACTTCTGTTAGTCACAGATGTTAATGCAAACGCAGGTTAAGGCAGCCCTGCCAGCTCCAGGCCCTGCCCAGCACCGACCACACCAAAAAAAAAATAAAAACAAAAACAAAACCGCGGCACACGGAGAAACCAAAGCCACACAAGCACTTCGGTCAAGAACCCCGATTACAGACAAGGCGGGCCGGGCC